CCGGAATCCCTAACTAGCATTCCTTCTTGCCCTCACCCACACAGTGGCTATTGTCCTTAGAACAAGCGAGCGATTCTGCAGAGGTATTCCCGGAATTGAATTGACACGGAATCAGTAGGAATTCCGGAATCGGAAGAAGCGACTCCGGATCCGGAATTGGAAGCTACGATTCCGGATCCGGAATCCTTAAGTAGCATCCCTTCTTGCCCTCACCCACACATTGGCTATTGTCCTTAGAATAAGCGAGCGATTCCGCAGAGGAATTCCCGGAATTGAATTGACACGGAATCAGTAGGAATTCCACGGAATTCCGGAATTGGAAGAAGCGATTCCGGGTCCGGAATTGGAAGAAGTGGTTCCGGATCCGGAATTACACGAAGCGATTTCGGATCCGGAATCGGTGCTTGAAATTCCGTGCAATTCCTAGCGATTCCGTCTCAATTCAATTCCGGGAATTCCTCTGCGGAATCGCTCGCTTGTTCTAAGGACAATAGCGAATGTGTGGGTGAGAGCAGGAAGGAATGCTAGTTAGGGATTCCGAATCCGGAATCGTGGCCTGCAATTCTGGATCCGAAGTCGCTTCTTCCAATTCCGGAATTCCGCGGAATTCCGTGAAAGTCCTACTGATTCCGTGTCAATTCAATTCCGGAAATTCCTCTGCGGAATCGCTCGCTTGTTCTAAGGACTATAGCGAATGTGTGGGTGAGGGCAAGAAGGGATGCTACTGAAGGATTCTGGATCCGGAATCGTGGCTTGCAATTCCGGGTCCGGAGTCGCTTCTTCCAATTCCGGATCCGGAGTCGCTTCTTCCAATTCCGGATCCGAATTTGGGAGCATGTGGTTCCGGAATTGTGGGAATCGATTCCGGAATCGATTGAAGTTGTGATTGGATGCAGTTCCGGAATCGTCGGATTCAATTCCGGGCGCGGAATCGATTGCACGATGTTGAACATCGCGGAATAGGATGACTGCTCGAAAAATTTTATTGTTTAGCTAAATTACCCTTTTCCTATTTTGCATACAATTTCCAAAACATTTTCGATATTTTGTGCAAAATTTTCATTTATTAAACGCGTTCAAATGTTTTATCCATACTTAATTATCTAAAATACAATAATATAATTTATCCTCTATTATTTTTTAAAAATCAAGATAATGTTAATTAGCAAATTTATATTAACAGAATCATCATATAATGATAAAAAATAGATATAATCATTTTTCATAAAATTTTCATCAAGTAATTGTTCAAAATATCGAATATTTTTTCTTATATATGTCACTAATGTAACAAGACGTTCAAGTGGAGTTGGTTGAAAATGACAAAAATGTTTCCATGTGGCAACAGCTAATAACAGTATCATCATCAATAAGATTTTCATCTAATACAAATATAAATGTATTCATTTCAGAACATAATTCTTCTGATTGATTACAGTGAGCTTTACTTTGACTTGAAAGAATTTGTTGAGCATGTAAATCAAGATCTATTCACATTGTACGTGCTAATTGATGACGAAGACATACATCAGTTGGATCTATAAAAATAAATTTTAATAATTGAAAAATGTCAATTTTATTGACATCAATTGAATGAAATAATAAGCCAACAATCAATTTTTGAGAAATTCCTATTAACGAGATTTGTATTTAACTGCATAATGCAGTTATTCTATTTTCTTTTGAGATTTCATAAAAGTTTTATTGTCAATTATTCGATTGTTTGCATGATCAGATAGACCAATATTGAATCAACTTCAACAATCTAGAAAAATCTCACCTCATTGAATATAACGAACAAGTAAAGAAACCAAACATGTAGAAAGATAATTCCTCTAAATGATGCAAAAACATCTGGCATATCAAGTTCATATTGTATTCCATCAAAATCAACTGATGAATCAGTCATATAATATGATACTGCTGCCGCTGCTTGATACAAAACTTTTTGTCGTTCACGTAATTCTTGTAAACTAAGTGTCATTTTAATTTTTGGCATTAAACTTGGTACATAAATTACTGGAAAATGATTTGATGCTTATACAATACTTAAATTTGTACTAACAGATAGAGCAGTTGTTTGATTTATTTTAAATGATGATGATTGTGTTGATAGAAAATGTTGCAAAATAACACGAATACAATGTATGTAGGCCACTTCATTTGTTAGAGACGTGACTTTGCAAAATCAAAATGCATATATCTCTGAATAATAAACTTTCCTAGAGCTAGTTTTCAGATGTCACATGGTTGCTGAGTTACTCTAGATACATTGAAAAAATCAGTCCTATAGATCGTTATTCAGAGAAGTTATAAGTCAAAAAAAAATAGCGTTAGAGACGTTAGGCAAAAAAGAACATAGGTTTTCATTGCATGCATTTCAGTTTCAAAACCTACGCATTGAGGCAGAATTTTTACAAACTAAACGGTAAATTCTGGAGACTACTCTTAGAACTACAGAATCTCTATCCAAACTTTTTCCTGAGCATGTTTAGACTTTTCAAAACCGATTCGACTTACTTTTCGTTAGGGACGTGACGAAGTACGAATCTGGATATGAAAATGTTCTTATAACTGAACGAAAAGTTCAAAATAAATTCATACCTGAACAAATTCTTCTTCACACTTTTCAGATGATGGTAAGATAGAAATTTTTGTCTTGAAATTTGATGAGATCTCTAGAAAATCGGTTTTGTAAGAAAAGAATTTTCCGAGTCTTATCTTACTGAAAATTTCATCATAGATGTAGTTCATACTGTACATTCTATTCCGAAATTTTTGGATTTTTTTCTCATATTCTTAAAGAGATATTTATTAATTACTTCTTCATTAACTATCAGCTGAAAGCATCAATATTCTTGCATGTCTATACTAATAGATTTTATTCAGAAAAAAAATACTCTGATAAAGAATCAAAGTCAAATAAACTCATATAATTTATTTGATTGCATAAAGCAAATATTAACATCTATAAAATTCATATTATATTATTTTTCTAATGCTGACAAAAAAATGATTCATTATATATAAACAATTGAAGTGAATAGTGCTTGTTACATATATGAGATTTCAAAAAGAAAAGCATAAAAAGAAAAAGATATTATATTTCTGAAAAAGACTCTACTTTTGAATTAGTATTATTGATGCTAATTATTGATAAATTGGACAGATCCGTTAGTGATTTTTACATATTGATGGAATATTACATTATCATATTATTTCCATAAAATAAAAATTTTTTAAAATAAATAAAACAAATTTATTTGAAAATCTTTTAATTATTTCGTCATTTTCATCAATTTGTTTACGTAACAATTGTATATACAACATTCTTTCATTGCATTTATTTCAAATGTTTTTATTGATCGAATTTCATTTTTTTTCTATTAATTGTTTTTCTATTAATTGTTTTTCTAAATAGTTTTTATTTATTGAAATAAAATAAAATTTTTATATTTATCAGTTATATCTAATGGTTTTTGTAATTCATTAATTTGATCTTTTATTCGTGTTGGTTCTTCTTTCTGATGTGATATTTTTCGATTAAGTGATTTTTTAAGATCAATTATTTCAGCATTATATTCTGCTAATGATTTTGTATCATTAAGTATAGTTTATAATTTAAAACTCTTTTTATTTCACATTCTAAAACCAAAAGATTTTTATGAAATAGAATAATAAATAAATGTTTTATTTATC